CAGCAGGCAGAATCTTGTCTTTTAATCTTCATCCTCAGATACTGGGACTTCAGTCAATTTCCTAGGATAGTATAAGCCAGTTTTCTTTAAAAATGAACTGCTTCTCTACTTGTAACACTTCTGAGAACACGAAAAAATTTAACACCAGGTCTGAATTTCTCTCTTGGTCTGTCCCTGCAAACTGCTCTCACTGTCCAGGTCTATATTCCTTTGAAAGAGCAACATTCAAGAAACCATAAAGATAGCATTTTCTATCTCTCTTCCACCCTGCAGAGGTACCTGTCTCTCTCATTGTATTCCTGACTGTACCCAGTAGCACACCTGTCTATTGAGTCTGCCCGAGCAAACCTGTTGGCTCATGGCATGGAAAGGAGGTGAGTTCTAGTTTTCCTGTCTTGCTTTGACCGATCTTTCCTTCCTCATCTCTGTTTGTCTGTTATCTGAGCTCTTCTGAAATGCCTGTCACCCTTTACTGGGCTTATCTAAAATGTTCCATTCAGAGAGAAAAGAATAGGTGAAATACAGAGTGAAGAAAAGACACTGATTCATAGATGATTGTTTTGGATTCTACAAACAGCAGATAAAACATTGAGTTTGTACATGTGTATGATTACCGTAGTGTTTTCATAAATATCATGTCTTCATGAAAACATCGGATGTATGAAGTCATGACAATCATTCCCTTTACAGATTTCTTCTGTTCTGCTTTTTATATTTAACTCTCTCACAGGAGAAACATGTCAGAGTATACTTTTCATATAATTATTGACTGGGTATCTTAACTTCTCTAGTTATAGAATGCTGGTGAATTTAGTCTTCTGAAATAATTATCTGTATGCAGAATTCATAAAGGAAGTGTTCAGAGGACCCCAATACTCACACACACAAAAAAAAAAAACACAACAAAAAATCTTACAAATCAACATGTCCCTGTGGAGAGGTAAAAGATCTTGTCTGAAATCTGTCCCAGAATCCTCCAACAACCTAAAATCATAACTAGATGCTTCTTGTGAGCCAACATTACCTAACTAATTTGGTTTAATAGATTTTCATGCAGCAATCACAACCAATTGAAGGACTGAATTTTAGTTTAGTAAAAATAACAATTATTACAGTTAATAATCACAAGTAAACTAACTTAATGTGAGATTTGTTATGGTACAGCATTGTTCCTATCAATCAAATTTTCATCAATATCCCTGTCCTTTCCTTTGGTACTGTGCATGCACATCTTCTATATCAATTTATGGGGGAGGGAAGGGAAAAAATATGAAATCATTTGAGGCAATTACTGGAGTGTGCTGATGACCTTAAAAGCTCACTTGGGACTGCTTTTATTTGAAAGCATTGCTGCGGTTTTATGTGTATGACCTACACAAAATTTAGGGTGTATTTCATTAGCAAAACCTAAAACCAGTTGGCAAAAAATTGTTCATCGACTTGGCTTATTTCAGGTTCAGGATTGTATCTCCTTTTCGTGAAACACTGGGAAATAGGATCAGTCAACACTTGCACTGTTGATTCTGGAGGCTGGATTTTGGAAGGTAACATGTTATCCCAAGGAACTTCTTCATAAGCTATAGATCAACAATAAAAAAGAAGAGAAAAAAGTCCCTGTATAATCATTAGTGAATGACATCGGCAGCTAGATAATAAGGAATTATGTAACAAAGAAGGATGCAGAAAATAACAAAGCTGCATACTTCTAGTTTAAAGGGAAATTAAAAGCCTAGAATTAAATGTTACTTGTTGTGGAACAACTAGTTATGGCACAGTTTCACAGGCTTATCTTCTTTAAAACTGTCTCACTCACTACTTGAAAGAGGTAGTTTACCTTTCAACAGGCTTACAGTGATGATGGGATTTATTTTATCTAAATTTGAATAATCAGTTAAGTGAGACGAGACATAAATAGAGATTAGACACCAGTCACATGCCTGTGACAGGTGTTGAAGAGAGATGTACATAACGCCCCTTTGGAAACTCCAGTTTCTCTTCACTGTCTGTAGAGGAAGTAGAGATGAAAGGCACAGACTGGATGCAAGCTTTTAGATAACTAAAGTTCATGAGATGAATCCTATGCTAAACGCCGCTAAAGCACCAGAAGTTCTGGCTGATAGAAAAATTGTTTGTAGTCTTGTACATCCTGATACCTAAAGGAGCATAGTAGCAAAAAGAAGATGAAAAAATGAAGCAAAGCACAAGCTAAAACCAGTTGTAAAAGAAATGGCATCTCACTTTTAGTATTTGACTTGTAGAAATGGTTCCTTGCTTTTTCTTCTCTTCATCTTGCAGAAGGATCACTTGATTCCTAAGAGAAATCAAACACATAGCAGAAAGCAATACTATCAACATATAGGATATTATGATCGCTTGTTTAAAGAGTGAACTGTATGTATCTGCGTTTTCCTAGTTTGCTATCTTCTTTTGCATCAGAATGTGAAACCTGCAATTTCACATACATCACTAGCTAGCAGCAGAGATCAAGAATGAATCTATTTCTGAGGAGTTTTACTCGGGAAGGAAAATGTAATATAGTGAATACAAGTTTAAAAACTGACAGAATGTCCTTGCCTCTCTACTCTTCAAGAATGTACCTTTCAGTTTATTATACTATTTATAAAATGGCATAGCAAACGCACTTTGCAGGCCCTCACATATGCCTGATGTATTTGTATGATGTTCATTGCTACAAAAGGGGCCAACTTAAAGAGCTATTTAAGCACATGCAACACTTTAAGGACTATGAACAGCCTCCTAAGTGTAGAAGGATGAAGGATGTCATGGCATTTTCAGTATGTGAAAGACTTAATTAGACTTGTGCTATGGAATCATTGATGGGTTTTTATTTACTTACTTGCTTGTGACTTGCACCAAATAAGGCAGTGCCTAAGTATTTAATATATGAGTATTTATAGTAAGTATGAGGTTTTGGCATCTTTTGTACATTCTAGTATTTTTGCTCTAACTCTGTCTCCAGTTACACATAACTGGCATTGGTAGTATCAGTCTCACATTACAGTCTAAATGCCTTAATCAGAGTAACAGTATAAAAAATAAAATTTATTGGAGAAATATCCACCATCAAAATCTAGTCATGCTAACATACAGCTACCTGAAATACAGAGCTTGTTTCAATATAATCAGATGAAATGAAAAAGTCACTACACTACTTAATTACTGCCAACGTGTGTTGAGTGGAAAGCAGACTAGAAACAAAATGATTTAAATCTATTTTCTGTCTTTACAAGAAGAGCACGAGACACTTGCCTTCAGATCAGAATCCATACAAAATGCAAAAATATAATTTTGGTCAAGTAGAGCAGGAGCAACTTTCACAGAAGTTCTCCAACCTGAAAGAAAGGGCTTCCTGTTGTGTTAATCAATTTGCAGCAATCCTTATTGTTTTAAACTGGATGAAAACAATTCACAGCTTCCCATAAAAATTGATGCACCAATGTTCAGTTACCTGTTACCACTCTGAATTACAAACTGCCAGAAAAATATATTGCATTGCATGGAAGATGAATAGTATCACAACATACATTGCTATGGTTTGGCCTACTTCACATATTGTCATGTATAGTACTAACTGTATAAAGGGAAGTATCCAAATTATCAAACATGACAAAAAAAGCTTGCTAATGTAACCCGAACTAGTAATTACATATTGCATTTCTACAGTTACATAATTTTTGCCAACCCTGAAATCAACAAACAATCTATTTCATGAGCAGTAGCAGACTGATTTCCTAACAATATTTCTCTCTCTTTCATCCTCCAAACTTCATATTCCAATAATTTGAGCTCTCCCTGACCAGTTCCTGTAAATCAGCCTTACCCACCGACAGGTCATGTCCTGCAGTAAGTGTAGAGTCACATCTGTGCTGACTGGCGAGCCAGTACACGCATGCTGATAACCAAGTGAGCTGCTGCCAAATAGAAAGATGTTGTTAAAATGCCTGAGTTTCAGCTCTCTCAAAAGGAACACTAATTTATGTCTTTCCCCAGACTTTGATCTTCAAAAATCTTGCAGGGATGCAATTATCTTTGAGATGTTTATATCTCTGTCAAATTTGGCAGAGATATAAATATGAGGTTAAAAGTTATTAGGGGAGAATCAATATATAAATAAACAAGATGAATGGAAATAATTTGTCTCCTTAGGAAATCAGGATAAAATCCACAAAATAATCCCATAAGTAAGGAAAGGGATATGTATGAGAGTATCATCCAAACTGCTGTGCCATTAACTAGCATAATGCTTTTGGTGATTTGGAAAAGGTGTATTTCTAAATATACTTTGTTATGCTATAGTAAAAGGGGTAGGCAGCCATACAGCCATCGCACCACTCTCTCTATAAGCACTGGGAACTGTTACTTAGTACCAAGAATGTACTAATTAAGTAGTTTTCAACCTGCTTTTTGCTTCCAGACTTCTAAAAATCTCCAACATGTATGAAGACCTTTATTTAGCAAATTTAAGCTAATTCCTAAGGGAGTTACTTCTCCTAGTCATTTGTAGAAATTTTAGGTATACTTTGGAGAAAATAATTCAAAGACTAAAAGTTGAAAACCACTGTGCAGAATGCAAAATTAGTTCTTACAGAATCATAGAAT